ACTTCGGTCAAGAAGCCCGACCTGAGATCATCGCTTGGAATGTGGAGGCGGATGGAGCATGAAGGCTCAGTCCCGAGTTCCAGCATAGCATTCAATATATTATATGATGTCGCTATTAAGGCGAGACAGTGGAAAGTTGCTGATAAAATTATTGAAGAAATGAAAGCTCGTGGGTTAGAGCTCTCTCGATTTGGAAGGGTGGCTCATATATTTTCCCATGGGCTACGAGGAGATGCTGAAGGGGTTCGGAAAGCTTATCATGAATTCATTCAACTTGGCGAAGTAGTTGATACCGTGGTTCTAAACTGCGTCATGGTCTCGCTCCTACGGTGTGGCGAGCAACATGTTGCAGAGAAAATGTATGAGCGTATGAAAGACATGTACCTTTCCCTAAAGTCACAGCACCCCGAACTTCTACATTCGACTGTGTATCCCTCTCCCTCCGACAATTACGCTGCCTATAGGAAAGCAACTAAGAGACTCGGCCGCGTTCTCGGGATGACGACCTTTCTCAGAGATAAGCTTCCAGAACACCACCGTGCATTACAGAGAGCGATGCCATTGACTCCAGATGGTAAGACCTTCCATATATTTCTATGGCACCACGCAAACGTCACAGGTGATTTAGCACGTGTCATGGCCCTTCTTGAGGACATGAAAGTCACATTCGCTATCCCCCCGCAAGGGATGATCTACATATTTTTATTTCACGGCTTCGCAGCCCATGGTGGAAAAAAAGACACCCAGTGGACATACAATCGCCTTAAAGGCGTATGGAAACACTTCCTTCGAGCCCTGTACCATTCGAAGGCTGAGCTTAGTTCCAAACGAAGTACCAAATGTCGAAGGGAAAAGTTTGTTTGGGAGAGCCCATTAGCCAATAAAGCAGAAGCATCTTCTCGCGGACCAGAGAGTGCTGAAGAAGCCGACGATGAAACGTCAAAACCAACACTGTACACGAGCGAAAGAGGAGTAGACCAAGCTTCCCCATGGACTGCTTTGACCGGGGATGGACCTCCTAATCCCTTTGAGGAAGACGAAGCCGATGATGACTGGCGGTATGAGAATTCTGTCTACTTGGGCCGAAAATTGATTGTTTCCTGTCTAAGAGCGCACGCTACTTGCGGTGGGCCCGAAGCTGTGATGGATGTCTGGGAACGAATCGAGCGCCTCTGGAAGCCCGAGTCACAGAAGAAAGCAGATATCCTTGCTGTTAAAGCAGTTCTTGGACAGCTCGTTCCTGGAGGCTTTAAAGCGCCTAAATAGTGTGTGCCCGCCACCTACTTTGATGTACTGTACATATTATAGATACTACTTCTTTTTCTACATGGGATTCTGGTCTACCTTCAACGATTGGTATACCAACTTGTGAGCATGTATCTTGCTTGTCTACTATACCGTGCAATAATTTTCATTACCCTAAGTTGAGCTTTGGATTGGCCTACATTGTTACTACACATTTACACGTGAAAGCACTGTATTTATAGACATCGTCACAACCAATCCGTCCATCTCATATTTCAAGGGGGAAAAATAACAATCACGTGATATCGCGTTGTCACGCGTCAATTTGTTGATAGGAATTGGAATTGGTGGAGCATATAAAATATTAGTATCAGAGCTATAACCTCTATATGAAATCTATGAAAGGCAGAAAAACATGATATTACCTTGAATTGCAGCGGAGATGCCTCTGCGGCGAAATAAAGGACAACCCGTAGACATTGACTTCACGTTACGGCGCGTGTTTGGGAAAAAGGCATTTCGGTGGGTGCTTTTATTAACTACGAATTGCGAGAACTTTGGGCTTTGAATGCTTTAAGGGGCTGACTGCCGTGTATCATGCAGGCCTCTGCAGCGGGAAGTCATTGAGGCTGCCATCGAGGGCCATGATGTGTTCCTTCAAGCTGCTACATCCTTCGGGAAGAGTTTATGTTTTCAGTTACCTGCCATTGTTGGCCATGGGGGTGAGCACCATCAGCACTTCTATTATGTTTAAGTTAACACAAACATATTGCTAATCAAGTTGTTGATGGTAGTCACGGTTGTTGTTTCGCCACTTCTCGCGTTGATGGTAGGTTTGGTGTGGGTGGAAAAGAATTATACTCACAGCACTCCTCGTAACTAACATTATTTCCGTACTAGGTGGATCAAGTTTCTGCCCTGGAAGCTAACGGCATTCCTGTTGCAACGATAAATTCTACAACTTCTCTTACCAAACGGCGGGAAATTGTGAAAGATCTTCTTTCAGGGCATCCCATTACACGACTTCTATACGTAACCCCGGAATTCTGTCAGACCGATTCCTTCCGTCGGCACCTTCAAACAGTTCACCTACAAGGCGAGCTTGCTCGAATCGCAATTGATGAGGCGCATTGTGTCAGTGAATGGGGACATGACTTCCGCCCAGCTTATAAGGAGCTATCGTGGTTCAGGAGAGAATTACGCAGGCCATTTGTTCCGATCACTGCCCTTACAGCGACTGCTACGGCACGTGTTCGATCAGATATCATATCCTTGCTAGGATTAGACCCCATGACTCTAAAGAAATTTAGTACAGGATCAGCACGGCCTAATATCCATTATGAAGTCCGTTACCTTCCAGATTGCTCGATGGACCCTACAGTCCCTGACACGGATCAACTGAATGATCTTCTCTGCTGGCTGAGCTCAATTCATAACCGTCGTATTGCGCGGCTATTACCTCCCGAAAATGAGAATTGCGCTGGCCAGAGTATATCCGCCGTCACACCTCTCCTGCCGCCCATCACAGGAATTATATATGTTCCCCTAAGGGCCATCTGCAGCGAACTTGCTAACAGCCTATCAGCGTCACCACTCAATATTAAAGCTGTCGCCTATCATGCGGGGCTCTCAGCTTCTGAGCGATCCAAAATTCAATCACTATGGAGCTCGCCAAGTAAGATATCCACATCAGTCACGGAGAAGTCAGGAGAGAAGACCAACCCACCCGCATTTTACATCGTTGTCGCCACCAACGCCTTTGGAATGGGAATCGATAACCCTCACGTACGTTTCGTCATACATTGGACGCCACCCCGCAGTTTTGAAGGATTTGTCCAAGAATCTGGCCGCGCAGGGCGTGACGGCCGGGCAGCCGTATCTCTCATATATTACAGTCCCCAGGAACGCGACCGCGTATTGGATCGTATGACACGCGATCAAGATTGGCATTTCGATGCGACTCTGCAGGGGGGCAATCCGGCAAGTAAAAAACGTAGGCACACGGAGTCAAGCATCGCTGCCAAAATGCGCAATCAGGAAGCACTCCTCGAAAGCTTTAAAAGGGTCGTTAAATACTGCGAAACAACCTCGCGGTGCAGACATGAAGTGATTCGCGAATTTTTCGGCGAGCGCGATCTGCAAGTCGACTCACGAATCGGGCAACCGACGCAGGTCCATATTGACACTTCTATATCGTCAACATGTGATTTTGCCTGTGACTTCTGCAAGGAGGGTCATGAGGCATTGACACGCCGGAAAAAAATGAGTGGTGTTCCTGAAAACTCCTTTGAGAATCATGCTGAGGATTTCTTGCCAGTGACTATGCAAGTTGGGGATTTCATGGGATTTCGTGCCGCTAGCCTGATAGATATTTATAAGCGATAATAAGCGATTATAGTTCCTTTAGATTTTTATTTTTTTGCTTTTTATTCCTATCCTTTTATCTTATTTTTTTCTATTTTTGATCAAAAAAGAAACGAAAGAAAGAATTGCATAGGGAGGCGGTTGGAGATGATAGGACTGGTTAAGATTGTTTGGCGTTGATATATCTTTTACTCTAGAGGCGGATGTATCACGAGCAGCCTCAGGGGAATAATTAGCGTTGGTTGCCATATCCGGGAACTGCTCTGATAATGAATAACAACTTATCCTTTCCCCTTTTCCCCCTTTTTCTTTTTCTTTTTCTTTTCTTTTCTTTTCTTTTCTTTTCTTTTCTTTTTTTTTTTTTTGCTGCGGCGGGTACTCTACTTGCACGGCGATGAGCGCATTTGCTTACTTTCGTAGGTGACTGTAATTCGATGGATAGTTAAGTTATTCGAAAATACACTATAGAACGGAAAGGGAAATTTTCCATTTCAAAGCAAAATAACTTTTTAACTAAGATATTGTTGGAAAAAACACTAGGCTAAAAAAATAGACGATTAATTAGATTGAAAACTCGGACATTGAGACGAATGTGATGGATATTTTAGTGTTATGACGGAGTTTGAAGTCCAAAGTCTGATGAGAGGTTTTGGCAATAAAACGAGTATTTGAATACACCAGGGAGGTAAATGCATCATGTCCAAATGTCACCACTGAACGAATGTTGTCTGTAAATTTCTGGTAAAGGCGGATATTCACAAGCCAGGAGGAGGGGGTACCTATCAAAGTAATTAGTTATAGTGACGAATATATTATGGTGGGGATTTCAGCTTAGGATTCATACGGCATTATATCCCCCAGACGATGACTGTGGAGGCGGTGGAGGAGGTGTACCTGATCCTGGAGCCGGAGGAGGTGGTGGGGCTTCAGAAGCCGGAGGCGGTGGAGGAGGGGGAGCAGAACCTTGTGGTGGCGGTGGCGGCGGCGGCGGCTGCTGCTGCTGCTGCTGCTGCTGCTGCTGCTGATAATACTGCTGGTAATACGCGACATAATTTTGATACCCACCCCACGCTGCGTATGGATCTTGGCCTGTCATATATTGAGAATACATGCGGCTGTAGTCTGCGGCAGAGTGGCCTGTCGCCGGTGCAACTTGGGAAGTTGCGCCAGCATCAGTGGCAGGTGTGGCATTGGCAGAGGGACTCATGGGTGTCTGCGGAGAAGAGTAGTTCCCGTAACTGCCGCCGGCCCCCCCGTAACTCCCACCCCCATAATGGGAACGATCGCGCCCATACCCGCCAGTATGGTGACCACCTCCACCATACGACCGTTGTGGTGGTGGCGGCTGCTCCTTAAACCTCTCATATTGCTCCCTCACGTTAGCGAGGAGGTCTTCGCAAAGCGCTTTGGCATTTTGGACTTCCTTCGGATCTGGACCACTATGATGGATTAGCAGGTATTATGATTGTATATTCTCACCACAGAATATTTGATGATACTTACGCGACATGTAAATACATAGGTTCATCACTTTCTCTACCGGTGCTATGTTCTGTGAAACCAGAGCCACGTCCTTTGATCTGAACTCGGCAACGCGTCTCCTGCTGAATATGCTTAACATACGCGCCACCTTGGCCAACTACCTGAGCACGAAGATTAAAACCCGGGATAGGCTCCAGGTCAACAGGAATCCGTTCCTCAGGCCATTTCCGCTACAAATCCTTATTAGCCACAGCATCAATCCTATATTATATTACTGCATAAAACACATACTCGACCGTATTCATCCCGTTCCACTTGCGGCTCTGGTTCTCTGCGACGAAACCTCCGCTCGTCAACAAGGTTGGGCAGTTCTTGTTTCATCAATTCCTCTATTTTGGCGACTGCCTTGTCAAGACCCTCCTTGGTGGTGCTCGTTACGTGAAGATAAAGCGGGGGGTTCTGGTTGTAAAATGTCAGACACTGTTCATCTGCTCCTCTCACATCATCGGGTCTTGCTGAAGCTTACCGCAGCCGTAGCCATGCTTTTATCAGGGAAATAACTCCCTCGGGTCGTAACATCTTTAAACCTTTACATGAGCTTCTGTTATCTAAATAGAGAAGTATAAAATAATATAGTGATGGAGAAGTCGTACCGGCGCCAGTTTCATCTTTAATCTAAATATCACGCAGCGGAGGTCAGCAGATGCCAAAGAGGGGTTTCGAGACGCTATGGAAAGTTGGGTAAGCTTCAGCCACCATCACAACAAAAGGGGAAGGGTGATGTGGATGTTGAGTTGAATATCTTTCCAAAACCGTGGCCCTGAGCCATAACGAGCAACAATGCCTGGGAATATCAGTGGACATGACAGAAATATTTACCATCCTCTGGGTTGCACCCTTAGTCAGTGTGTACCGGTTTCGGAGGTCGTTGACTTCGATATCTTTTATATAGTCTCCGTCTGCCATGTAAACTTCGCCATTTACGTTGCGTGCACTCTCCGCACCTGGAGAAGCAGACTTCGCCGCTGGGCTAGCAGTCTATTCAATTAAATGTTAGAAACAAGGATGTGTGCTGATTGGCAATGGAAATTCGATGGGAGATCAGGGGAGCCTGCATATCGTACAGAACGAACTGGTGGCACGTTCATGTGCTGATATCCTTTTTTCGCCTGAAGCTCAGCATTTATCTTCGCAGCAGCGGCAGCTATTTAAACGCCAAACAGAATATTTAATTAGCATTCTGCGCGCGAAAAGAAGTCACGTCAAAAAAAAAAAAAAAACCATGGGTTGCACACTCACCTGCAGCAGCAGTTGGATCGGCGGATGCGGACTTCCGGTTGTCGTCGTTTCCAGGGCTTCGCGGTTCCCTGCTCAGTGGGCTTCGCTCCCGTGCGGAATCTGAATTCCGAGCAGATGGGGATCGCGAACGTCGGTCAAATCTTGATTGTCTTCGAGGTTCTGCCTCTGTTTGATCAAAACGAGAACGCTTTGCGCGACGCTCACTGTCCGCCATTGTTGGTGGCGGGGCTCTAGCCTAAAGTAAAATCTCCCTGTGTTTTATGGGTTTCGAAAAGGAAATACAGCTCATATATAAAAACAAACAAAACGGAAGCCAGACGTAAGGTTGACGTTGCTTCAAAAGGGTATATTTTGAACAATCTTTTCTGGATGTCTTCTTGTTGAAGCTTGCTTAGTCATTTCAACATGACACGATAACTAATCCATAAATGGACTAGTAGCTCGAGAAAGTTGCTGTTTAGTCATTTCTCCGACCTCGGAGTTGGATGTCTATCATGTGACTCAATCTTCCAACCTTGTCAAAGAAATTGAGACACAGAACTGAAGGTTTTAGAATTCCTGCAAAGATGAGATGGTGGTGAGCAATTCTCTCCCGTTTCTTCAATCGTAGTGTGATAGGGGTTGGTGTACTCATTTTCTGTGAATATCCGTTTGGCAGCTAGACGAATCCAGCTATATTCAGGGGAGGAGTCACAAATAGCTCCTTGTGCCTACACGGACAGAGGGCAATAGCTCTCGCCGTCGTGTGCGGTAGGAAAATGGCTTTTCGACGGGTTTTCTCCCAGCCTTCGAGCCGTACTCTATTGTCGTCACTGTCGACATGTGGTGCTGGAGGCAGCCTAGCCCCTTCATTGAAACCATGCTTCAATGCCCGCGCCTCCTCAAGCTCGACATCCGCACTCGCCTACAAAGCTCTGCATCGTCGGTCTCCGCTCCCTCTCCCAGTAGCCGATAGCCCGACCTGGTCTGCTCCTGCTGCAGTCTCATCAATCCTCTATGAGACGCCAGTACCCTCGACCAAACCTCCAAAACGCCATGTGCTGAATTGCCTGGTACAAAATGAACCAGGCGTTCTCTCCCGGATCTCCGGAATTCTTGCGGCTCGGGGTTTCAACATCGACAGCCTCGTTGTCTGCAATACGGAAGTAGAAGACTTATCACGGATGACGATTGTCCTTCGCGGATTGGATGGTGTGGTCGAGCAGGCCCGCCGCCAGCTGGATGACCTTGTCCCAGTCTGGGCAGTTCTTGATTATACCGATTCTGCCCTGGTACAACGCGAGCTCCTTCTTGCGAAAGTTAGTATTCTGGGGCCTGAGGTGTTCGAAGAGCTTCTCCAGCACCATCGTGAAATTACAACGCCCGAAAACGAGGAAGTATCTAGCTCAGCGGAACAACAGAAAAATTCGACCCAGAGCGGGGCGGGAACGTTCAAAGGCAGCCAGCATGCCAGTAACTACCACCCCAGCGGACTAGCTCATAGCCAGGCACTTCGTCACAAACACGAACATTTGAAGGCTATTACCCACCTGACTCAACAATTCGGTGGGAAGGTTTTGGATATCAGCACTAACAACTGCATTGTAGAACTGCAAGTTTATGCTCCCCTTGCCTCTTGGTTGAAAAGCTACCATTGACTGACAATGACTACACAACAGGTCCGCGAAGCCAAATCGAATCGACTCCTTCCTTAAACTAATTTCTCCATTTGGCATCCTCGAATCTACCCGAACAGGCCTGATGGCCCTACCACGGTCTCCGCTTTCTGGACCAGATGCAGATATTGAAAAGGATGCAAGCGAAGTCGTTGACGCTAGTGCTCTTCCTCCCGGTTAAATTTCGCAATATTGTGACACCTGATTTGATTTTAGATGCCTGTGTTGCTTACTTTTACATGTTTGCTGTCTGTTGTCTTTTTATATAGTCTTGTGTATCCTTTTCTCAAGTAAATCAATCATGCTTCAGGGAGAGGAAAGAACACTGAAGGATAGCGACGGGGCAATCAAGTCATATTTATTGCTATTTTCCCTCGTGCATAATTCTATATTGTCTTTTCTTTGAATTTCCGTTTTTCTTCTGTATATTTTCTTTATTGGAAGGTACCGAATAAGATAGCTATTTTAATTCTATCTACTCTTTTTTTGTGGGAG